AAGAAGCACTTCATCTGGTACTTAGTGTCTTTCATTCCAACATAAGAAATCATTTCTGGAATCTGCATCTGAAATGGCATTTAGCCTACAGTTTAATGTATCTCAGAGGGGGCATGGATGCATTTAACCTGCAGTTACAGATGCATAAATAGGTCTAATGTTTTGTTTTTAACATAAAACGTTGAATACTGACATTTGAAATAATTTAAAACATGAAAAAATAGTCGAAATGCGAAATTAAAACCACCAGTAGGTGGCAGCAAGTGACAGTTAATGAATGAGTCATTGAGATTCAACCGATTCATTCAAAACGCTGATTCACTGGCGGAGTTAGTGTAAATAGCCTCTGCTATCTCCTTTTCCCACCTGAGCACCACCTAAGTCTTCTCTTCCCATTTCTACCAGTAATGCTTGATTCAGCTTCCTGCGTCTGCTACTGGTTGTAGGTTGCCAGGTTGAGGTCACGAATGGGTTGAAATTTGTATGATGTGTCTGTCGATTGTGTGAGTAATATGCGTTTCATACAAGATCTAGCAACTGGACAACCTTGGAATAATATATTGACGTGATTATTCATATAACGAAGTTTGGGCAATTCAAATTACAAATTACCTTTGCCTGAAGACTGCCCTGGAGGACACAAATGCTGTCGATTTGATTCTGGGCCTGTTTGCGTGCCGCCTGTTTTCAGTGAGTTTTCATTTAATAATGGATGCTAAGGGTCCAAAAAAAAAAAAAAAACACGCACGAGTAATGCATTGGATTCAACGTAAGTTTTAAGCTGATACTTAGCGTTTTTCTGTTATCGTCTAAAGTTGGTTTGAATTCGTCCCTTACGGTAGTTAAGCACAGGAAGGCTTTACAAAATAAGAGGAGTAATACTTAGAATATAATTCACTCTGTAGGTAAAACTTTGTTCATGCTTTTGAGTGTTAAGTGCTGTAAATTGAAGTGGCATGCAGTCTATATGCACAAACTAAAGCTGACTATCTGTGTCCACGCAGTGAAGCTGGGTCAGTGTCCCATACCGGAGATGATTCCACTGTGTGCTGAAAGCTGTTTTCAAGCCGGGTCAATGTCCCCTACCGGAGATGATTCCTCTGTGTGCTGAAAGCTGTTTCCATGATGGCCAGTGTCCTGCCACACAGAAATGTTGCCCAACCACCGGTGGCTTTGCATGCAGTGAACCACGTGGTCAGGGAAGAGGTCAGACAAGTGGCCAGGGAAGCGGCCAGGGTAGTGGTTACGGCCAGGGCAGTGGCTAAGGAAGCGGTCAGGGCCAGGGCAGCAGTCAGGGAAGTGGCCACGGTCAGGGAAGCGGCCACGGTAGTGGTTAAGGCCAGGGCAGCGGCCAGGGCCAGGGCAGCGGTCAGGGAAGCGGCCAGGGTAGCGGTTACGGTCAGGGCAGCGGCCACGGCCAGGGAAGTGGTTACGGCCAGGGCAGCGGCCAGGGTCAGGGCAGTGGCCAGGGAAGCGGCCAGGGTCAGGGAAGCGGTTACGGCCAGGGCAGCGGCCAGGGTCAGGGAAGCGGTCAAGGGAATGGTCATGGTCGGGGATGTGGTCAAGGGAATGGTCGGGGATGTGGTCAAGGAAGTTGTCAGGGATGTGGTCATTGAAATGGTCATGGGAGTTTTGTGTAACACTTACTGGAGGTCTTTTCAATTCAGTGCTTTATTCATAAGCCATGTGTTCCCTGTTTGCTCAAATGGTTTAGAAATATTTTCTGTCCCACCTCTGCCTCAAATAAAAAGATTTGCTTGATTGACGAGTTGGTGTTTTTTGGTGTCATTTGGCTGTTTTCTCGCATCAGTGCTTTCTTGCATCAGTGCTTTAAAGGAACACTCCACTATTTTTGAAAATTTTCCAACTCCCTTAGAGTTAAATGTTTGAGTTTTACTGTTTTGAAATCCATTCAAACGATCTCTGGGTCTGGCGGTAGCACGTTTTGCTGCAGCTTAGCATAGATAATTGACTCTGATTAGACCATTAGCATCTCGCTCAAATGTCCAAAGAGTTTCGATATTTTTCCTATTTAAAACTTGACTCTTCTGTAGTTACATCGTGTACTAAGACCGACTGAATGGATTGTAAAACTCCACTGTTTAACTCTAGGGGAGTTGGAAAATGAGCCTATTTTCAAAAATAGTGGAGTGTTCCTTTCCCTGAAACCTGGATGTTTAGCAATGTATTAGCCAATTTTTACACAGAATATACCACATATTTTGGGGACTCAAATGGCACCAAATGCTAGGAATAACCTTAATCCTATTTATTTATATATATATATAATTATTTTTTTTAAATAAGCCTATAAATGCCAAGGTCTGGATCTCGCGGATCTCATGCTGGGAACGGCAGTGTGTTCAATTTCATGCAGAGCAGCGTAGACCGATCGGCAAAAGTTGCAGCTTGCAGTCGGGGTGGAATTGACCGATCGGTAAGCCCCTCCCCCTTGAATGCAGATGAGACAATGGCCATTGACTATCAGCTGCACAGGGACTGGAAATCGGACATTTTTATGGCTGTCCGAAAGCTCTAAATCCAAGGCATCAAGGCACGTCCGAATCCAATTTCTGCTTTACTTCCTGTCTCCGGAGGTACCTTCTGATCAAATTTTGAAGGCAGCATAGATGTATCCTTCGCTGCCTTTATCCCACAATCCTGTGCGCTCCATTCTGTGACGGTTGAGCTAAAAAATAAAGATGCCGTCTGAAAGTTGCATTTGGTGGTCAGTTTGTGTGTAAATGTTTATCTCTGAGTAACTCTTTGCACTTTTAATGTTATTTTGTAGCGAGAAATCAGTATTATCGTAATTAAATATTCTTTTTAGTTATCACAAACTCGTTCTGTTGTAGATCATTAAACCGTTACGCTGTCTCAGAAATCATTCCGAAATCAGTTTCATGAGGTGCCTTCGTGCAAAAACGCTGCCTGCAAAGTCATTGCCTCATACAGCAGCAAGTCAACTGCCTAAGTTTTCGAATGCAGCCTAGGTTTCAGCGCCATAGAGAAACACTGGAAGATCCTAAGCTTTCATCGGTTTGATGTTTGCTACAAAAATTTAAAAATTATGTACCTGGGGTATTTGTAACTGATTCCCTGTATCCTGAGAGGATGGGCAATGGAGTTTATTTTATTCAATTTCCTAAACCTAAACCAAACGGAGCAAAATAACCCTAAGCATTCAACCCCAATCCCAATGAACACGAAGATGTTCATTTTCTGGTTGTCGTATACTCGTTACAATTTTCATCTCAAGCAGAATGTTAATGTCATCTTGTGCTGCAACGTATCTCTGGCTAAAACTAGCTAACGTTAAAGTTAGTGAGTCCATGCTAATGTGCCAACCTAAATAACTAATTGTTCTCACCTCATGTACAGTGTACTTAAGGTCTACATTTCAGTGCCTCTCTGTATTCAACTGGTTAAATGTCAATTAATTTAATCTTAACCTGCTGTACATGAATCCTGGATGTTGTCATCGGCGATCGTGAGGACTGTAACATGAAGCTTCTCCCGCTTGCATTGTGATCTGTAAACCCTTGCTTCCAAATTAATCTTGTTACCCACCATATTTATTCTAAAATATTTTGGATATCCCTCCATGGCATATTTAAGGCCCACTTGAATGGTGGTCCTTCTGTGTCCAAAATTGATCAAAAACATCTTGGGACAAGGTTTTCACACTGACAGCTGTCATAGTAAGACAGTTAGCAACAGCAACTAAGTAGACGTGAAGACTAGTGATGGGAAGTCTGGCTCTTTTCAAAGATTCGGCTCTTTTGGCTCCGCTCCCTTAGAAGAGCCGGCTCTTACGGCTCCCAAATGGCTCTACATTTAGTATCACTCGGAGCCTTCTATTTTAGCCCAATTTAGCAATTGTGAATGGTTTGTGTGTTGGTAAGCAATTTTTTATTCAGTGTTTTTATAATAGCCTTATTTTTATGAATTTTTTTGTTACAAAAAAAATACAGTTACTATTATTTAACATTTTAATAAAACTTTAATTGAACAATTGAACACAAAACCACAGCAAACAAATCAAATAAATAAAGGCAAAAGTCTTAACATTAAGACACTTTAGTCTTTAGTCCAGCTTGGCATTCAGGAATATCAGATGCCTCAACTTGGGTGTGCTGATGCGATTTCTCCTCTCTGTGATTATTTGTCCTGTTTTTGAGAAGACTCTCTCTGAGGGGACTGATGTTGCAACAATGCAGTGTCTTCCTACCATTACCTTAAAGGTTCCCTGAAGTGCCTTGAGACAAGCAGCGTTATTCTATGTGGTGACGTAATTTCAACTGAAATAGGAAGACAGGGTGGGACATATTGAGCAGCCCCGCCCCCTTTTTAAATTAGCCAATAGCGTTTTGTTTATATCTGCACACGTCAGAGCCGTTGAGCTCGGTAAAGCCGCATTTGACAACCATAGTCTAATTGATTACCCCCTAGATTCAATATGAAACTCTTAGTAAAACAAAATTGTGATCTTAGTAAAACAAAATAGTGATCATAATCATGCTGAGGCTGTGTAGTTTTAAAAGTGTTTAATATATGCCGTCTCGCGCATATGATCTGCTCCGTGCGATCGTGTCTCTGGACCGGAGCCAAAGCTGGATCAGATGTGCGCGCTGCCGCGGTTCGTGTGAAACAACGTGAAACCAGACCTCATTTGCCCCAATCAAAAGCATATTTACACTATCTGAATCGTTCCCTATCGCCTACATTGTACACTACGTGCCATTCACTGTACAGGAAATACACTGTGAACAAGCGACCGATCTCCGCCGCAGCTTCAGCTCTATATATAGTGTAGGGGGCGGGCGCTTCGGCTTCTAGAGAGCGTTTGATTGGTCAGAAGATTTGAAGAGAAGATGAAGTACGGTGTGAAGTCAAAAAAATCGTTGAGCCATTTTGGGCGAAAGTAACGAACTAAAAGCTTTGAATGCTTATATCTTCTAAATGCGAATTTTGTCACTGTTTTGGAGCACACTGCCTTATAGATAACCTTAAGACTAACATATTGATAATAAGACCCAAAAAACTTTCATTTTGATTTAATGGGGACTTTAACCAACGCGCTTGCGTTTAAATCCCCCGCCTCTCTCTGTCGCTCTGTGTACCTGGCCTGTAGCACTACACTCGCTATCTTCGGAGCGTGTGTCCCCCTTCCTTCTTTCACATAGATAGCAAGAACGTTTGGGCCAAATGTGGCTGATAGCTGTCATATTTGGCCTAGGTATGGCATGGCTGAGCACATATGGGCCAAACTTTAACCGTATATGTTTTGCCATGGATTTAGAATTGGAGGGAATTTTCTTTTGGATGACAATTTTTTTGAGGTATATGGTCCAGATGATAGCACACAACTGACAGCCATATGTGGCTTGGCTATGGCACACCATGGAATATGATTTCTATATTGCTTTGATTCAAAGTACCTCGAGAGCGTTTTGAAAACATAAGGAACCGATGTCATACGCCGATCGGTCTGCACATGCAAACAAAGCCAAACCCTAGATATTTTAGGCAATATAGAAATCCTGGCCAGGATGCGTCCGGGAAAAATGGCACGTATGGTCACCCTAGTTTAACAAAAATCATAAGTCTGATCAGTTAGAAAAGATATCAACCCGAGTCAGACCAGTCTGAAGGTCTGATCTGAGTTTGGTGGCTGTAGCTTCAAAACTCTAGGCGGAGATAAAGTCCAAATTTAGTCTCAGAAAAAGAAGAAGAAGAAGCTTAAATAGTAGATCGGTAGGTTGGATTTCTCAAGACAACCTAATTATGCAAAAATATAAGCCTGTGAACATGTTTCTGTACCATGCAATTGTCTCGGCTGGTGTAATAGATGTTAATCCAATCATCAAGTGTCAACAGCTGGAGGAGTGTAGACATGGTATTGAGCATGGAACCAAATCGCTTTGGGTCGGACTTGCTGAAGTCTTGTTGGAAAAGAATGGAAAACATGATGAACATGCAAAACATGAGCAAGAAGATGACTGCATTCATCTTTAAAGACTTTCCTATGACTTTCATGATGACCTTGGGACCACTGAAAAACCTGAGATGAGGATACAGTTCTTTGATCCTGTTTACCTTTGGGACAAAAATGATGCAAAACCGCTCCATGCTATTCTACCTTAGGTAGTTCATACTTCAACTTGTACATTTGGTGGTAAAGACTGAAACAGTCACTGCAGAGTGCGTAAGATCCTGAATGCTCGACCTACTTTGAACATTTTAAGAAGGTGGAAAAAAGTGGTGAAACGCCCACTATCATAGTGTTTGTTGTAGAGAAAAAGGTCTACCAACCCCACCAGAGTGACAGAAATCTGGAAAAATAAACAAAAAAGAGCATGTTATGTTATGTTCCTATACACTGCAACAAAAAAAAACATTTGCTTCATCATTTATTTTACTGGAAAAGAGG